CACAAAATACAAAATTTTGTTTAAGAAATAAATGAGATTATCCCTATACCCACAATCCACACAACAAGGTCTGTTCGATCTCGTACTAAAAATACTAAAATCACTGCAAAACTGCACATTATACAATGCGGCCATTTTTGTTGTTTACAATTCTTGTGCTTTGGGTTTGTACAGATATAATAGATATAATATTAATATAATATTAATAATCGTTTTAAACGTTGTGTTTTTTACAGAGAGACTTGCAAGCCTGTACAAACCCAAAGCACAAGAATTGTAAACAACAAAAATATCCGCCATTGTATGATGTGCAGTGTTGCAGTGATTTTTAGTATTTTTAGTACGAGATCGAACAGACCTTGTTGTGTGGATTATGCTTATACCAAAGGATTATTGCTTTTTACATTTTATTTACAATTTATTTCATATATAAAATCAATTATTATTAATAACCATCATACATTTAATTAGCCTTGATAAAGGTTTTTCTTAAGAAAAATTAAATTATTTAATTATTATTTTTGGAAAACGATAAACGAACTTTAATCACGTTTATAAAACTGTTCACATGTTTGTATGTAAATCACACGAAATTATTAAGATTTTATTGCGATATGCAGTGTCTTAACTATGGAGACCATGAATTACTAATTAAAAAACCTAGACTATTAAAAAATATTATTTCAAGGCCACTTATTTAAATAATAATTTATTATTTTTATTAATTTATACAGGGTGTCATAAAAAGCTCACTAGTGCTGGGCCGTACCATAATATAAAATGTAATATTTATGTTACAAAAATTAAAAAAAAAAAATGTTATATGTAGACATAAGTCGTCTAGTAAAAGTATAATAAAAACAAAGTAAATAGGAGAGATCAGGTTGACATGGCTGTTAAATGTATTTTATGGCATTTAAGAAAATTATAATTTTTTTTATTTTAACTCTTTTTATAAACAATTCTAACAATTTTAATAAACAATTTTATAAATTTAATAACCCAAAAATGTATCGCGTATTATTGCGCCATTTTCAGGGTTTTCGGGAAGGGTTAATTTGACCCCTTTATTGTGGTAACAAAAATCGGGTTTATAATATACTTAAAAATCTTTGGACGGGTCATATTGAACTTGACCTTAATTAAAATCTTGAATTGTAAAATAAAAATAATATAGACGCCTATATCAATAATTGATGGGCTTCTATAATTTTTGTATAATAATAAATATTATTAAAATATTTTATCTTTTTCTAAACTCTGTCAAGTTTATACTAAACTTAAGTTGAATACTTTTGTGTACTCTATAGTGTTCAATTATTTACCAATTATGTATTTTGCATTGTTGTCAGTATATTCGTCAACGAAAAATTTTTCCCTTGTTATTTCTGTAGGATCCTAGGAGGTACAAAGCGGACTTAGTGTTAGTGTTGGTGCAGGAAGCCCATTTTTTTGTATCGATTTAAAATCGTTTTAACCACAGGGAGCATACAAATTATAAAATACCTTAAATAAGGACAAACCTTATATATAGTGTACATATGTTTGCGACTCACCCCTGTAAAATATTTATTTATTGTACGATTTTAATCGGATTTATTTTGATAAACTGTATTTTTGGAACAAAAATACCACATTTTTACAAAATACAAGGCATACTATGTCAGTTTTTCAGATTAAATTTTTAAGAATTCATATTAGCGATTAAAAAAAAAACTATGCACGGCCCTGGATTCACCACCCCTCAAAACGACCCTTTACTAAATTTTATTGAATTTTTTTTAATAGTAAGAGTTTTGTAGCTAAATTAAAAATGAAAAATAATTACTATTTACAAAAAAAAAATTCTGTCAAGTTCATCTACACTTTAAAACAAATCTGGTTAAAATCGCACTATAAATAAAGATTTTACAGGGGCGAGTCGCAAAGAAATGGGCCGCACTGTATATAAGGTGGGGTAATTGTAAGATTGGGGAAAATGTCACATCTTACTTGTAGTAGTAAATAAAAGCAAACAAATAAAAACGCACGCTGTTGTCTTGGGTTGCATATCTAACTAGAGAAATCCCGACAAGTACTGCGCAGTACCACTTGGTTACTGAAGTACTTAAATGGTTTTTTCCTTTTTGCATTAAACGTAGTTTCTTAATTCCTAAATTAAACATAAAAAAAAGTTTGCACACCTTAACGGATTTACACGATTTTACACCAAAATAATCCTATTTTTTTTCTCTTTTACATTAGCCCCATACCCAATTCAAATACATTAATAGTGTATTGTAATCAGCCGCTAACACATTTGCCCCATTTTTCGGAGCAAATGTATGTTAGGAACGTTTAAAAAAAAATGTATTTTTTAGCCTAAAGTTAGTTCTTAACGTTTTATACTTTTGAATCTAATTCTTGAATAGTTTAGTTTTATCACTCCTTATAAGGAACTATACTTTATAAGTATACTTTTAATTCAAGGGACAATGCCAACTAGTACAAAAACATATGGCAATTACCCCACCTTACCACCTTATAAAAAATAATAATAAATTTCTATAATTAGGTTTTATGTTATACCTAAGGGTTTAAAAACTTTTATTTTATATGAATTTATACATAGTGTTTTATAACTATAGTGACGCAAAATTAAATCTGGTATGGCAATTGATTTTTAAACACAAAATTAAAAATAATTTTTTTGAATTTTGATTTTATCTTATTCAGGTTTAAAATAAAGACAAAACAATTCTTATCCATACAATTTACACACGTAAGCTTCTAGCATTTTTTTGACATTTGATGCATAAGTTAACCCTTTAATTACTCGCGCTTGTGTTTTGTACACCACAGTCGAAATTCAAATGTTACAACTATGTTATTCCGGATTTTGTGTTTAAAATTGAATTTCTCATGTAAGATTTTATTTTATGTATTGTAATTTTATGTTAAATAAATTATTATTATTATTTTGTGTCACCGGTAATGAAACACATTTTATAAAATGATTAAACACAATTTTGCAATAACGCGTCATAACGTCATAAAAATAAAAAAATAAAATAAATAAATAATAAAATAAAAATACTAACAAAGTTTTGATGATTTTAAGGGAAACTATTACAGTCGCTGAATGTTTTGTTTCAATAATAAATGTTTTTAGATGTAGAAAATACAGAGTTGACAGATTTTTTGAACTTTAATGCTTAATAACTTAAAAAGTACTTGTCGAAAAAAAATTGTATTTTTTATACTTTATACTTTATAGGTAGGTACTAATATTGAATAGTTTAAGTGTAGAACGGTTTTAATTTAAGAATAAAAAATTAAGTAAATGTGAATGCGGTTTAATAGGAACGAATAAAACAAGTAATTTTAGTTATTTCAAGGTTCTACAAATCTGAAATATACATATACATATGTATATGTAGTTATTAATAAAACCTTGTAACCATCCGCTCTTAAATTTACTGGACATATAATTAACGGAATTGGATTTCCCCTAAATTTAAATATAAAAAAAGTAGAAAAAACCAATCCAAAACTTGTTTGGTCTCTAATAAACAAACCAGTATAAAAGTTGTCAAAAAAACGTGTTATTAAAATACCATAGATTCCTTCATGGTAGTGTATTTTTTTTTAAATAACATTACATTGCATATCTAATGGCAAAAGTTGGCGATTTCTGAAGAGTGTGAAGTTTGCTACACGAGCGAAGCAAGTATAGAAACATACTCTTTGAAAATCGACGCCTTTTACCACAAGTAGCTAAAAAAATTAGCTGTAGATGCGAAAGTTGAGTCGTCTGCGTTCACCAGAAATACGATATTTCTGTATCGGTTAAAAGGTAGCAAAAGTTGAATTTTCGCTAAGCGTGTCATTTCTATACCACTTTTTTTATCATTAATATGTAGAAAATTGTTTGTTTACCCCTTTTTAATATCATTAATATGTAGAAAATTGTTTGTTTACAAGAAATATTGTTCATCCACTTTTCTTTTGCCTTTAAATAATAATAATAATTTTACAAATAAAAAACATTAACCACAGCAAAAATAAAAGGTAAAATATTTATACTTTTTTTATATTAGCTCCGCATAATATCATACATTGTTTTACCTACTTATCAATAGAAAAACGAATAAATTTATCGTTTAACAAAATCTTTTCGTGTTTTATGATCGTCATAATTTATTTTTATTGAATTTTTTGTCATTTTCATAAATATATTTAAAATTATACTTACATTGACTATACTAAAAATATAAATCATAAATTTTTATTTATATTAAAATTTAGAATAAACTTTTTTATATAATTGTGTAATTTTAGTATGGTATTTGTATAGAAAATTATTCAATAATCCTTTAATATTGTTAGGTTATTAAACTTAATTTATTTTCTTTTAACATTTATATGATATAATTTATAAATTACATGTAAACTTATTAAATATTCACAAATTACAATATTACTATTATATATTACATTTGTGTGAGAATACATAAATTCATTACTATTAGATAAGTTTTAATCTAATCTATATCCTTTTATAATTTATTTAAAACTAAACCTAATAAATTAATTGAAAGTAAATTTTAAAACTTTGCCAATATAAACTAAATAACAATATAATACCTATGAGTATATTATAATTTATATCGAAAAAAATATAAAATTAACTTATATAGATATTATACCTGTATATAATATAATATTTATAACAATATTTTTATTTACCAAATTATAAAGTCAAATTATATGTTTATTTTAAGAGGGCAATTAAAAACACCTATTATATTAATAACTGTTCAATGTCAGTGATTTTTTATATTTTATTAAGTCAGTCTTAAAATTAGATACTAATGTTTTGACAGACTCCGATGAATTCAGAAGCGGAGGTCATAGATCTTATTTAGTTGAAATCCAGACTTGAACAGTTATTGTTTAAAATAAACAACACTTATAAGAATGTTTGTTTCAGATTAAAATGAAAGTTTAAAGAATATACTTGGTGATCGTCAAGCCAGTTAGAAAAAATGTTCTACTCCAGATTTCCTAAAGAAGATGGATAAAGTGCTGCCTTAAAAAATGAAAAGTAATTATTTGGACCAAATCAAGCAGCAAAACATTGAAATAAACAGCATACACGATGCGTTCGAAATTCCAAAAAATCACACTCAACTAAACAATTCCTTCGAAAATTTTACATCGGATATATTTTCCTTCAATAGCACGGATTGGGGGCCTAAGAGAGACCCTCTTTATATAGTGATACCAATTAGTTTTATGTATGTTCTGACATTTGTTAGCGGCCTGTTAGGTAACATTAGTACGTGTATTGTGATTGCAAAGAACAAGCCTATGCATACTGCGACAAACTACTATCTCTTCAGTTTAGCTATATCGGATTTGCTCCTACTTATATCGGGACTACCCCCGGAGATCTACGCTATATGGACAAAATACCCCTATATTTTTGGTGAAGCTTTTTGTGTATTGCAAGGATTTGCAGCTGAAACATCAGCTAACGCTACAGTGTTAACTATAACAGCATTTACTATTGAAAGATATGTGGCTATATGTCATCCATTTTTATCTCACACCCTGTCGAAGCTGAATAGGGCAATTAAATTTATCATAGCTATTTGGATAGTAGCTATTTGTTTAGCAGTTCCCTTAGCAATGGCTTTCGGGGTGTGGTGTGAACAACTACCTGACGGCTCCTTTAGTGATGAACAGTGCGTATGTATGGTGAAACGAATAGTTTTACCTCATGCTTTTGAAATATCAACATTCGTATTTTTTATTGCCCCTATGTCGCTTATTACAGTGCTCTACATTCTTATAGGGCTACAGTTGCATAGGTCAACGGTAGGACCGTCAAGGGGTAACAGTGTTAAGCTGAAGCACAGGGTTTATAAGCCAGTGACAACTTTTCCTAATTCAGCTAGCCAGGCTGTGGTGATGCTAAATGGTGAAGGAGAGAAGCAAAATAGTGTTCAGGAAGAGGAAGGTAGAAAGAATTTTGCGAAGAATGCCCAGGCAACAAAGCATGTAGTTAAAATGTTGGGTGAGTAAATATAGAAATATAAGTCATTATTAATTTAAGAAATTTTAAGTCATTAATGACAAAAGATGCAAAGCAGTTCTTTTTATAATTATATACGAGTATAAACAAATAAAGAGAAGTCACAGTATAAATAAATTTATTTAGATAGACAAATTTCATGATGCAAAACTCCTATGATTTATGCAGGTTTTTAGACCATAAGTATATTAATGCATCAACAACAAAGTAAGTAAATTAAAATCCAACCTGTAAAGAAAAAATATGTCTTTATAGCAATTTAACAAATTTTCAATAATAACATGTTCATTTAAAAAAACCATTTATTTAAAAATAGAATAAGGCTTAAAAAACCACGTAATAAAATTATCAAACAAAATTTTAAAAGTATTTTTGTTAAAAAAATTATGTAGGTACTAAAAATATTTTTTTTACGTATAAAAAAATGGAAAATCAATATACAGGGAAAAACGAAAAGTTTATTTTTTTTCAATGGATCACCCTATATATGAATTTATTTTTCAATTCCTTGAAAAATTCTGAGCATAATTCATATAACAAACCATAAACCTAAATTCAACCGTTTCTGGAATATTCCCATTTGAAATGTTATCATTAAATGTTCTTTGTTAGAAATCAAGAAGCCTCAGTATACACAAATTTTTAACGAAAATAAATTACTATAGTGACATTATGTCAATATTTCTTGTTAAATAAGTGAAAATGGTATACTCAGACAAAAAACAAACTATTTCAAAAATTTTGTTTTTCCCTGTATACTGATCAATTTTCCAATTTTCTTTATGCGTAGAAAAAAAGAATTTTTAGTACCTACTTAACCACCTCTTTAATTTTTTTGGGACACTTAAAATAAAAAAAGTTAAAGGGGGGCGACATTATAGGGGATCACCCTGTACAAACCGAACATACTCGTATAAAATAAACTAGCTGTTAGGGCTAAAATTGCGGACAAGTTTTAATACCTATCAAATTGCGAAACATTTTTAAATAAATTGATAGCAACAAATTATAAGGCCGTAAAGCGTTATAATCTTATTTTTAAAGAAATGTGATGGATTCTCCAGCCTACACTGGACAAATTTACTTAAAGTTAATGGTCATTTTACAGGAAATTTCAAAAACTACAAATTTCAAGAGATAACTTTGATAAAAAAATTGCGCAAAACGGGATAAAAAAGAAGAAATCCATTTTCCAAAAAAAATGGTTAAGGTTTTTTAAATATACAGGGTGTCCCATAATTAGCGTGCAATACTTTAACAACAGATTCTACTTACAAAAATAAGAAAAAAAGTTTCTATAAAAATAGGTCGAGAAATGCTTTCCAAGGGAGCTACAGCCCCCGAAAGAGGAGCCCCTGAAGATGGTTTTTATTTAATATCTCCAAAACCGTTTAGAATTGAAAAGTGAAATTTTGGGATATATATATAATCAAACTTTTTATGGCCAATAAGTTGGAATGATAAAAAAATTAAAATTTTCATAAGGGGTGGGTCAGATAGATAAGGAGTGGGGGTAAACTACCCTAATTTTTTTGTACGCATCTTGTGCTATGATTTAATATCAGATCATAAAATTTCAGAGTTATACACACACAAAAAGGTCCTTTTGATGAAATTCGATAGCATGCACCGTTTTCGCTTAAAATCGATTTAAAAATTACATTACATTTAATCTTTTTCTCTAGTTGTGATTTCATTATGAATTTTTATGCTATGCATAGCATAAACATTCATAATGAAATCACAACTAGAGAAAAAGATTCAGCGTATGCCATGGACAATTTTTAAACACCCTGTCACATATTACATGAAACTGTTACCTGTCTTAAATAACACTGTGCGACAAATTTTGACCTTACAATTTGAACTGGGATGAAATGTGGAAAAATCGAATCTATGCAACCCCCAAAAATAATCTTTAAAGGGGTTTTGCTAGTTTAGCTCGAATAATGGAGATAATATCTTCATTATTCGAGCTAAACTATATTATATAAAAGCCCCTAAAACTTAAAAAATATGAATTTTATAGAAAAATGCTCGGACACGTCGATTTTTATTTCATATGACGCAATTTTCAGTTGATTTTGAAATTTTTATTTTTTCACAAAAAAAAAGTGGGGTGGCTGGGGGTGAATCTGTGAAAAAATAAAAATTTCAAAATCAACTGAAAATTGCGTCATATAAAATAAAAAAAATCGACGTGTCCGAGCATTTTTCTATAAAATTCATATTTTTTAAGTTCTAGGGGCTTTTATATGAGACATTCTTTTACAAATCGTACACCTATTTTGACATCAGGGTTTGGATTCGCATGAAAATTTTTTTACCGCTTCTATTCAGTAAATAAGCAGATACGTGTATCAGGTTTTCTGTAAAAAAAATGTTTTTTCAGAGATATGTTGATATAAAGTTTTTATGAATTGCGATAAAACGATAAATTCTCTTCTACATAAAACCCATTATCTCCGGTTCTACTGATCGGATCGATTTTGTTTTTTTTTTGTATTAAACCTTATTAAATAGGCTTTTCAAATAAATAAATTAAATTTTTTTTTTTTTAAGAATAGGGAGTTAATAACAGATTAATTTTTTAAACTAGTTTTTCATGTTTGCCCCCTCTATAAAATAAAATGAAAAAAATACTATTTTATGCGCTTTTTCTTTATCTACAAAATACATTTTTCAGAACAGTGGAGACTCTTTTGGATCGGAAGATATTAAACATTTTCGAGCGCGTGACAGGACTGTCAAGCGCGTAATATTCAAACGTATTAGTGCATGTGGCGGGTGACGTGATATTTTGTATAAGAGTGCCATGATTCGACATCTTTTAATTGGTGACTTATTTGTGCAAATGTCAATTCTGCCAGTTAATAAATTTACTCATTAATTGGAGTTTGTATTATTTAAAATTTAATTTATTTAAAATTATTGAAAACCTTTAAAATCAGAATTAATTTACAAAAAGCGCTGGTATTTTTTTAAAACGATGTATGAGTTTACACTATCCTAAATAGTGATGCCGCGAGACGAGACGAGACGAGAAAAGTCCTTCTCTCGTCTCGTCTCGTGCAGCGAGAGAAAATGGGTCTCTCGTCTCGTCGAGAATACTCTTTTCTCGCTCGAGAGTGCCTTTCTCTCGTCTCGTCTCGTTTCTCTCGTGGTAAAAGTACCTGTATGAATACAAAAATTATTTGCAATTAAATACGAATTCGTTTATATTTTTTCTATATAAATTTAAACTGGAAATATAAAAAAATTGTGCCAAGACCACACTGATAAAGTAAGACTTTTTACGCCGAAAATGTCGCACATTTGAATCAAATGGTTGGATCTATGTGGAGTAGTTACATATATAGATGTAACTGTAACACTGAGAAAAAAGTTTATTGCTCCCAAATAAAAAAAATATTTAAATATGGGACAGTATATTTATCCTAAATATATTTGTATTCCCGACACATAAAGTTTTACTTAAGTATATTTATCGTTATTATTTCGACTATTTAGAGGTAATAAACAATATATTCATTATTAATAAAAGGATTAGCTATAGCTAAACTGTGTATACACAGTTTATTTGTCCCATTTTTTTTCTCAGTGTAGTATATAGGCGCAGTAGTTTTCAGATGGATGGATCAAATCATCCATCCATCTGAAAACTACTGCGTCTATATGATGTAACTATTCCACATAGATCCAACCATCTTGTACCTACTGCGCATGTCCGTCATTTTGAATCCGCAATTTTGTTTTTTGAATGGATATCAAATTCTTAACCAGGGACCCCATAAATATCTAAATACTAAATTTTACCCAAACCATTAAAGCCGAACGACAAATTTTCGTCATATTGGATCAGCCATTTTATTTTTTGAAGAAATGGATATCAAATTTTTAATCAGCCCCTCAAAAACCACATGTTGTTGATAAGTTCATTGAATAAGCAATGCTTATTAAGCACGGGTTGTTTAATAGTATAAGGAGTGCCATAAATGTGCTTATACAGGGTAAATTTTAAAAATTAATATTATTTTATAAGTAATTTTTTTCTTGGTTACCTTAAGTTGTGTTATAAAATAATAAAACCTTATACAGGAACAAATTTTGTTTATTATGAAATGCGAATAATGTTCTCATTGGTCCAAATAAATATCGCAAAATTAAAATTTGTATGTAAAAAAATTGTTTACTTATTACCGGAATAATCGAGAGAACGAGAGAGATCGAGAGAAACGAGAAATTCTCGAGCGAGAGAGGGCTTTCTCTCGTCTCGAGCCTTTTTTCGAGAGAAAATCTCCCTCTCGTCTCGTCGAGACGAGACGAGACGAGACGAGAGGCGAGAATCTCTCGTATCGGCGGCATCACTGATCCTAAATGTGTTGGCGTTTCGAAGATGTCTGATTAGGGGGTGTCCATTAATTACGTGAGTCAATTTTAGCGATTTTTTGACCCCCTCCCCCCTTGCTGAGATGTCGTGAGATTTGGCTCAACCCCCTCCCCCTAATCTCACGTGAGATTTTAAAAAATGCTTATTTTTAATGTTTATACGTTAAACTGCTTGATTCTGTTGGATTTATTAAAAAAACATACTTTGTTAAAAATTACGTGATATTTGCCGAGACCCCCCCTCTCCTTTACGTGAGAATTGATGAGATTTGGCTTGACCTCCTCCCTCCCCTAAACGCCTCACGTAATTAATGGATGCCCCCTTACGGCTTGTACCGGTCACGCGCTCGAAAATATTTAATATCTTCCGATCCAAAAAAGTCTCCATTTTTCTAAAAAATTCATTTTGTAGAGTAATAAATAGTGCATAGAACAGTATTTTTTTAATTTTTTTTCATAGAGGGGGCAAACACAAAAAATCTGTTTATACAAAAAAAAAATATTTTTTTCATATAATAAACAAAACACAAACTTTTTAAATTTTTATCGAAAAAGACTATGTAATATGGTTTAAAATAAAAAAAAAATGAAAT